AATTAATTTTTACCGTCCACCAGAAATTATTGATAATGAAAGAAAAACAAGGGGTCACAATTTGAAATTGAGAGGGCAATTAACAACCAACATGAAAAGATTTATTTTCTTTACAAATAGAGTAGTGAATGATTGGAACAACCTTGAACAAGATGCAACAGATGCAAGCACCATCAATCAATTTAAAAACAACATTTTAAATATTAGCGATTATTTTTAATAAAACTATTTTGTTTTGTTACAGCTGTTACATTCTCAAACTCTGCGTAGCTTGGAATCAACACTCAAGAAATTAAGTGTACAGCATAATTCTGTTCTATTCTAAAAATTATTTAGAAGCTTATAAACTCAATGTATATAATATATTATATTTAATGTTTCCTTATAAAAATGACCAACCATTAGGTGTTTTTAAAGATCTTTTTACCCTAAAATCTATAAATATACCTTGCAAAGGTATTAACTGAACCCTTTTGTCAAACAAAGTTTAATCAAAATGTATAAATATCGAACTACTTATCTATGGAATAAAAATATATATATATATATATATATATATATATATATATATATATATATATATATATATATATATATATACGTTTACATAAACAGATGCAAGGTTATCATAAACTAAAGTTCTGTAAAGTTCAGAATAAGAGAACTAAATTTTGGATGCAAATTTCAGTTTGGCATATCTGTGATATGCCCTCAATTTTGCATAAAAATCTGAAGACGTTAGAATTAAAATCAACCAAATTAGAAATCTTTTGTAAAGTCATTTTCCGAAAGTTTAAAATTAGCCAAAAAAGAAAATACCTCAGCAAATTTCCAAGTAAACTTATTTTCACTTATTAAAATTTTTCTAAAGCCTATTAATAATTATTATACACTTGTTGATATTAAAAATATCCTTGGCAGGTAATGTCACTTGCGGTGCATCCCAGTCGTTAGGAATTCTTTTTTAAGACGAATTTGCAACATTTACTTAATCGATGGCAAGATTACTTATGGTTTGTTTTGAAGATTACTTTTGATTTGTTTTTAAATTCATCAAGATTGTCTTTCATTTTGTCTAACATACTTTCTAACAATGAGAACATCAAATTACAAGTTTTAAGATCAATTTGTTTTGACTAAAGAGCACTTTTAATTAATTAATCGTTAATCAAAAACTATTTAAAACATTGTTCTAAATAACAGCATCTTATTTGCAATATTTATGCGACTTTGTGCCTTGTTTCACTTTTTTGATAGGAATCTTTCGAAATCATATTCAATATTGTCAAAGTTGCATTAAAAGATTTGATAACTGTTTTAGTGGCATTTGCGTGAGTCTTTAGCCCAACACGTATGTGATAATGATTTAAGTACTTTTTTGTTTCCTTTTTTTTGTCTTAAGATATCTCAGCAATGCATCAATTTAAAAAAAAAGTTTTACAATAGAAAAAAAATTAACTGCAAATAAGCATCATTGTACAGCATTTTTTCCAAATAAATTCAAATAATGCATCGCACGAGGTATTATATACTCATTGTATACTCATTGAGATTTATATTTATTGCTTGCATCTTTCGGTATACAACGGACATATTTACAGCATTGTTGTGAGACTGACCTCAACAATTTTTAAAAGTCAAGTGATAAGTCCCTAATTAAAATTTTAAAATTTGTTTTGCAATGGCTGCACTGACGTGACTTTTCATAAATAAAACTATTAAAAATCAATCAATTAGCTTTCCGTCCATAGGCGAAATGTATCGAACATATCACTTGGTCACTCTGAGCAATATTTCGAATTGAATCAACTGAAACACTAAATTAGCAAGCGAATCTTTTATAGAATGTGAGATTGCACTTTTTCTCCTATTTTGTCATTCAACTCCCTGCATATTGTTTTTGATAAGATGGTTTTCCTTTACCTTTATTCACATATTCTTCAATTTTTTTCAAAATGGGTTAAAGCTGAGCAATAAGTTTTTACAAATCCAAATAATTCCCATTATCAGAAACACTAAATTATTCGTTTGTTCCGCAAAAAGCTAAACCTTGCTCCGATAACGTTATAATGACTGGTATAAAATGTTTCAATTCATTTTACCCGTAATTTTGCTCCGTCTGGAATTATAGTAGCAGGTTTTTATATAACAGAGCTTTGCTTTCTCTGAATGTATTTCAAAATGCATTCTCTGTAAAGAGATTTTTATGTTGATGTAATTAAAAAAATAATGCTTCAATCATTAAATCGATTGTTTGTTTGTTTGTTTGATATTTCTTTAGAAACAAAACAATTACAAAGAAAACAGTACAGGCACTAGTTATTGGGAAATAAATGAGCCATTCACGTAAAATTTTTTCGCCATTTGCTTTCTTCATATAAAATATGCTCTCTGAACAATACTGTGTCCTGTAATCTGTATTGTAAAATCTAAAAAAATGTTCCTAAAATTTACGTCAATTTTATTCAAATCACCCCATTTTCTAGGATCAATTTGATGACTGTCCTTCTCAAGAAAAGATTTATTTCCGCAAGTCCGATTAATTATGCGTTGCTCAAGATCATTTGAACCACTGTCTGAGGGTTCGATTCATTTTGATGACCATAAAAATTGCTGCTGTCAAAATGATAAATTTGAACCTGAAAAATTAAAAATACTGTCATAAACATGCATTTCGATATGCTTAGAGTTTGATGAAACATAAACTAAGTAAAATAAATTGTTAAAGTTTCGACTTTCTCACTTGATGAAAGAAATGGGGGAATAGACCGTTTGAAAAATGAATTTAATTTTGGAAGCTTAGCTAGATAAGAAAATATTTTTTTTCTCTCCGCTAGATTTAATATTAAAATAACAGCTTTGAAATTTACTTTGCTTTTTAAGAACATTTTGGAAGTTTCTACTGACGAGAGCGCAAATAGTTTTAAAATAAATTAATTTTACGTCTTATTTCTACGCTTAACTACAGGGTTATTTAAGAATTTTTAAATACAATAGTGTAATAATAAAAAAATATAAAGTCAAAAGATTTCTAGGTTATTAGATAAAATTTTTTATCTTTCCCTGTGTGATTTAAGTAAATTAATCTTAATCAATATACAACATTTATTCATTTCATTTAGCATTATAAGCTACATAACATAGTTGAATGTTGCGTAACGGATATTTCTAACTTACCGTGGGGTAAATTCAAAATAACTAAATTCAAAGGTTGTAAGAAGCTTTTACTCACGGTCATCACGGGCATTTGCTGGAAAGCAATGTCGATATAAAGACCATTTCGACAGAAATTTTATTTATTTATATGGAATATAAATAGAATCACGTTGAAATTATTTAAAGTATGAAAGCTGTGTTAGGTCAGAAGTCAGAAGGTATGCTGAAATTACTATTTAATTGCATAAAGCAGCCTGACTTATTTTAACTGGTTGGTTTAAAATAGTGCACGACTATTTTTGTTTCCGTGCGTAATGTTTTAAAATATGAGTTTTAAAACATAACTCCCACACTGATAATTTTGTGATTTGCTTCGTTCTCCGTTTGGCACTCAATTTAAACGTTTCTTATCAATGATTTTATGACAAGCGACGTCAAATTTCATTAGAATCTTTACACATTTTTTCTGCATTTATTTTTTGTTAGGTATACAAGTGCAGACACCATTGCAATTAAAAGAGCCAAATAAACGCTAAAGACCTGAATCAAATCATTAGTTCCATAAGCCTTGACTCTATCTTTCCAAACGTTGATGTCGAACTGTAAGTGCTATCGCTACAAGCTGTTTAGGACAGCGGTCATTCAACATACTAAAACGAATCAAGAGCGATCCACGTTTAACAATTGGACAAAAAAGAATGATGGAGAGAAATCTTACAAAAAAAGGCACTGAGAGTCTGTATGCTTGTTTTGCTTAAACTAAATATTGTTGAAAATTTTTAAAACTGAACATTGTTATATTGATTTTTCGTACTTTGCGATAGTGTTGGTGATATTTATATAATATGATAATTATTAAATCGAGTTAATGAAATAGACAATAATGATTTAAAAAAAAAAAAAAAAAAAGCTGTGAATTTTGTTATGTTTAATTATAGAACTAGAGGCAATTGCCGAATTAAAAAATATCTTAATGAATTAAGAGTTTTCGGAATATGTGGTCATTTAAAACCAGGAAGCCCCAAACTACAATAATGTCATAAAAAGCAACAAAAAAAACCTTAAAGTTTCAGGGTCTGTGGCTATAGTTCTTCCTCCTCTGAAAGCAGCACTGCTAGAGGCCAATTTTGTAGAAATTCCAGGGGCCAGCTGGCGCTAAAAATGGCTTTGTAAGTAGCTGTTAAACTTCGATCAGGCACTGAGTCTAGACTGAACATCGCTGTCAGGAAAATTAATTTCTGGTTATGCTCAAAATGTTTCTATCAAATTGCTCAAAAAAAAAAGAAGCGTTTTTCAAAACTATTAACTATATAAAAAGAGTTTTTATGCGAGTTTGTTTGATTTAGTTTTAATTTTATCAGATTAAATAAAGATAAACACGTCGGATAATTTTATAAAAAATACGGTTTGTTTTGGCGCCAAAGTTACAAACAAACATGGATGTGATTTGTTTTTATGAATGTATATAATATGAATAATTCATAAATATTGAAATATAAAAGATAAAAAGTATATATATATATATATATATATATATATATATATATATATATATATATATATATATATATATATATATATATATATATATATATATATACCAGATATATGTAACTGTTTGGTCGTATATATCTTTTATATATATATATATATATATATATATATATATATATATATATATATATATATATATATATATATATATATATATATATATATATATATATATATATATATATATATATATATATATATAAAAGAGTTAAAAAATATGAAAGCAGTTGAAAAAAAACTTAAAAACTGTAAATCGTATGTTTTAAGAAAAAATTAACATTGGTAAGAGTTCTAAATCACCAATCTTCGAAAGAAAAAAAAAACTAGAAGAATAATAGTTTTTTGAACACCATTTACAGTGTGGTTTTGGATCTTGTTAAACAGTGAGATACCTCATTAGAAGAACAAGCTCAAATATAACATCAGTATTCCATACCAATGAAAGATTTTAAGTTGTAGTGAATAAAATCAGGTGTAAGAAAAAGGCAAATACAATGATAACTTTGCAATAGATTGTATATATGGTTTCCTTAAGAGGTAAATAGTAAAAGATTATTTGAGAAAAAGTAAAGTTGAGTGTTGGCATTCATCAATATAGGAATATCAACAACATTGCAGTAATTATTAACAGTAGTGAGTTTTTTATGAGTTGAAATTTACTAATCACTGCAACTCCTAAACTATAGCAGAAGAGAGATCACATTTAAGGTTGGCTGTTATTTCTAAGCAATCAAAGAAGCAAATAAAAGTGTCTGGTAATATTTTTAATAGAGAAGCATTTGTTACAAATTTCAAAATTGACTTGATAAATTTTTTACTGCATTTATTATAAATAGTTTTAATTTAAAGGTAAATTTTTTTTTACAAAGTTGACCATCAATATATATATATATATATATATATATATATATATATATATATATATATATATATATATATATATATATATA